ACATGTGTGTGTGTAGTCCTGGTGTGGCGCTGTGGGATCAGCACTGGACTTTAATTCACAAGGTCAGCAGTTCAAACTCACCAGCTGCTCCTCGAAAACCCTATACAGGGTCACTATGAGTCAGAACTGACTCAACAGCACTTAATATCAGCAACATACATGTTGTTGATGTTAAGTTCCAGCGAGTCTGTTCCAACCCATAGTGACCCTGTATAGGGTCTCCGAGGAGCATCTGGTAAGATTCAAAATGCCAGCCTTGTGGTTCAAGCAGACTTTGCAGTCCAGCACATTAACCCGCAGCAGTACACCAGGACGCTCAATGACATAGTTGCATGTATGTATGTATGATTTGTTTATAATATTACATATGTACATATATGAATGTATGTATGATATGTTTATAATATAAACCTAGTTGTAAATGAAGTCTTTAGAGCATTTTACATTGACAGCACGTAACAACAACAAATATATATACTATTTTCATAAATAAGAGTCAGATACCAACTATTTGCAACTTATTTCAGTTGGACACATTTATCAGAAAGCCTCATATTTTAGAAAAATTCTGAAAGTTGTATTCGTTTTTCAGAAAGTTGTATTAGTATGACCACTAGATGATTAGTCTCTGAAATGAATCAGGGCAAACTTCCACTCCTGGCACATTCATTGTTCGGTAACGGTGAAATGAGAACCAGTTTATATTCGACTGTGTGTTGCTTATTTTTAGCAGATCTCACGCAATAGACAATCTCTGTGAAAACAATGAAAGCAGCAGTCAGTGTGGAACAAGCTTCAGCTGGATTCCAGATCTTACTCTGCTCCAAAGAGACCCCGCAGATGTCAATGCATTTGAGTACTACGAGTATGGGAAAGCCCTCCTGGATCACTTGTCACGTCCCCACCCTGGCAGGTCTCCCACTGGATGCGGTACTTGTAGCTGTAAGGAACGTGGAGACACCTGCAGATGTGCCCCTCACCTGACCACTGCCGTGAGAACTCTTAAAGGGCGAACGCCCCACAAATGTAAGGAGTGGGGGAAAGACTTCCTGTGTATCTCGACCTTTAAGAATCCTGTGATCACACTCACTGGGGAGAAGCGTTATGAATGCGATGAATGTGGGAAAAGTTTCTATAATATCTCGTCCTTTGGGACGCACATGAGAGGTCACAAACGTGAATATAAGCGATGCTGCCAAGCCTTTGGCCATTCAGCCTTCACTTTGCATAAGAATTTTCATAAGCGAGATAAGCCCTATGAATGTAAGGAATGTGGGAAAGTCTTTCGCTACTTCTCAGTCCTCACTACACATCAAAGAACCCACAGTTCGGAGAAACCTTATGAATGTAAGGAGTGTGGGAAAGCCTTTAGTTTTTCTTCCTCCCTCACCACACATATACGAACTCACAGTGGGGAGAGGCCTTACGAGTGTAATATTTGTGGGAAGTCTTTTATTCAGGCTGCACACCTCACTACACATAAGCGGACTCACAGCGGAGAGAGGCCGTACGAGTGTAAGGTATGTGGGAAAACCTTCACACAGCCCTCAAACCTCACTACACACATGCGGACTCACAGCGGAGAGAGGCCGTACGAGTGTAAGGAATGTGGGAAGTTCTTCAGTTATTCCTCTTCCTTCACTACGCATAAAAGAACTCACAGTGGAGGTAAACCTTATGAATGTAAGGAGTGTGGGAAAGCTTTTAACCAGGCCGCACACCTGACTTCACATATAAAAACTCACAGTCGAGTGCGGCCTTACGAATGTAAGGAGTGTGGGAAAGTGTTTAATTATTACGTAGCCCTCACGATGCATAAAAGAATTCACAGTGGAGAAAGGCCTTATGAATGTAAGCAGTGTGGGAAAATCTTTAGGTACTACTCTGCCCTAACCACTCATAAAAGAACCCACAGTGGAGAGAAGCCCTATGAATGTAAGGAGTGTGGGAAAGCCTTCAGTCAGGCCTCAGCTCTCACGAAACATCTACGAACTCACAGTGGGGAGAGGCCTTACGAATGCATGGTATGTGGGAAGACCTTTAGACGTTCCTCAAACCTCACTAGACATGTCAGAACACACAGTGGAGAGAGGCCTCATGAATGTAAGGAGTGTGGGAAAGCCTTCAGCCGTCCCTCTTCTCTTACTCAACATGTAAGAACTCACAGTGGCGTGAGTCCTTACGAATGTAAGCAGTGTGGGAAATTCTTCAGTTCTTCCTCAGCCCTCACCATGCATAAGAAAACTCACAGTGGAGAAAAACCTTATGAATGTAAGCAGTGCGGGACCGCCTTTAGGTGTTTCTCGGGCCTCACCAGACACATACGGATTCACAGTGGGGAGAGGCCTTATGAATGCAAAGAGTGTGGGAAGGCCTTTAGTCGCCCATCAATCCTCACGACACACATAAGAACTCACAGTGGAGAGAGGCCATATAAATGCAAGCAGTGTGGGAAAGGTTTTAGTCAAGTCTACTCCCTCACGACACACATGCGAACTCACAGTGGGGAGAGGCCCTATGAGTGTGAGGAGTGTGGCAAAGGTTTTAGTCAAACCTCAAAGCTCACTATACACCGGCGAATTCACAGTGGAGAGAAACCTTACAAGTGTAAGGAATGTGGCAAACCTTTTAGGCAGGCTGCACACCTGAATTCACACATAAGAACTCACAGCGCAGAGAACCCTTTATGTCAGAATTGGGACGCTGCGTCCTTACTGCTGTAATTTCAAAGTGCATGCTTCAGAAATTGTACCGTTAAAAACAATTTCTCAGTGAGTAACAGGGCAATTCAAAGTCAAAGAGGCTGTCGTTGGGGCTACATTGTGCCCTTTACAGAACTGACCGTTCCATTCATGACTGTCCTCATTAATCTTTGTTACTTCCTGAATCCAAGCTACATTTTACCTGCTTAAAATCTGACTACGGCAAATAAGGTGGCCAGAGAATAACGTTTTAGGAAATGTCTAATGTCTTTAAATGGTTTTCTTGATGTTATTTTGCATGCAATTAGATACACTCATATCTGACTTTAGATGATTTTAGTTTGGTTCCATATTTAACACATCACCTTGTACTCTTTACTGTTTGTTGTAAGACGAGTCTTTTTCCTTTTATAATTAGTGTTTCTCATAGGATAATACTTTTGAGACAGTGCAAGTGACTGTTTTTTGTCATACTTTGACCCACTCTTAGTTTTAGCATCCGTTGATAATTATGACCTGTGATCATGTTGTTGTGGTGCCCACGATAAAATATTTTCTGCCTCAGTCATTTTCATCTGTGTTTATGAATTCTGCAGGAAAACAGCATCCCTTTCTCTTTATTTATTTATTAAGTTATCTGTACCAGCACAGGCAATCTCTGAATTAATAGCAACTTCCGTTCCTAAGCCTGTCTTTAAGTTCAATTTGTAAGTAAGTCAATGTTACGGACTGAATTATTCCCAATATAAAATAGGTGTCTTCTTGGTTGTTCCATGATTCCTAGTGTTATCTGGATGGATGTCCTCTGTTTTGTTATATCGTGTAATTTTCCTGCATCTTGTGATATGTTGTAAAACCTACAGTATGCCTGTATAGTCCGATTTGGGAGTGTGTTACCTGTTCTGTCACGAGGCAGGGCTAGGGTAGGGGTGTATCTTGGGTAGACCGGTTCCTGGAGGGTGTGATGGGATTCATGCCCTGACTTGACGCATTGCACACATTACAAGAAATAATTGGGAAGAGAAGCACGCAGAGCTGGGAACCTCATCGCCACAGAGAAGGAAGCTCTGGAGCGGAGTATGTGCTGGCCGCCCAGGTGGCTCATAGAACCAGGATACAGAGAGCCGTAACCCTGGAGATCCGATGATGGAATCCGGTGGCAGTGAGCCGGCAGCCCCAGAATCAGGAGATCCACAGTCAATAGAGTCAAGGCTGTACCAATCCACCGAGCAAATGCAGACCGCCCTCAGCCGGAGGCTCACTGTGCAGTGGTGCCTCTGGGCACTTATTTGTAGAGTCGAAGTGGTTTGAACAGAGGGTTTACTGTCCAAGGTGCTGAGGGCTGAGAACTGAGAAAGAGGGACCTGCCTATGGGACTGGCTGGGAAACTCTCCTAACTTAACTATGTACTGATCCTAACTTAACTATGTACTGACTTTCTGATCCTGGATTTTAACCTGTTTTACCAAGACATGTGGAGATCTCCAAGGAATGCCAAGCCCACAGATAAAAAAGATTACCCCAGAGCCAACGTAGAGAAACCTTCCCTAAAGCAGGAACGCAGAATTCAGACTGTAGAACCTCCTCAAGTGTGAGAGAATAAATTTCTGATTGTTAAAGCCAAACTGCTTGTGGAGTTTCTGTTACAGCATTATCAGGGAAATGTGGCAGTTGGGATATTGGCAACTCAGTGATTCTATTGCTGGCGTTTGCTAAGGGGTTACAAAGCTCTCTGAGGCCGCACGTTCAGACTCGAGTCTCCACAACCCACCGGGAGGCAAGGACTTTTCTCTGTCTGGTGAACAAAGATGTCATGGTCTCAGGGCCCCAGACCTGAAAAGCCACCTTGCCGAGTGTTACATAAAGTGACTTAGCAAGTGGCCATGAGCTAACAGCAAGAAAGTTTAGTGCCGTGAGCTGTCCGACTCATAGGTTCCCAAGGAGCAGTTGGTGAATTTGAACCACTGACGTTGCAGTTCAAACCGACCATGTGGTCCAATGCTTTAGCCTACAGTGACACACAGAACCAAGCCATATTCAGCCTCTTAATGACTATTGCCTCACGTAATTTATAATACACTTTACAGGATCTGGTTTGTAACTGTGGATTGTACATAAGTCTAATGTTTGTGACCCAGGGGCTGTCTATATAGGCTAATACTTATTTTTTTTTTTTTTAAGTTTTTTTCTTACTCCAGTTAGCCCAGATTTGGTTATTTTTTGTAATTTTTTGTTTTACACATTCCCATTGTGATTTGTATCTTACCTTCTGCCAGGGTTCAAGACTCATCTTGTCCTGTTTCTATCAAACTTTACAATCAGACTTCAAGTAAACCTGTTTTTCTATAAGAGAATAATATGTCAAAACAGCATCTAAATATTAGGTGTGTATATTGCTACTGGCTCTAAAATTGGAAAGAGCTAGGGAATATGAAGGGGCTTCAAAGATTTCATGGAAAAATGGAATGAGAAGATAATGGGAAATTTCCAAGAACTTTATAAATCCTCATACACATACGTGAGTATATATGAAGATAAGCATTTATAATTGGTGGAGGGGAATTTAAAAAGTTTGTGGAAGAAATTATAAAAGTCTTCAAAACTTTTTGAAGTCCTCTTGTATTTTAAAAACTGTAAAATCACACTCATATCTCTTAATTCCAATCCAACAACAGAGGATTTACTTTAGCCTTTTCTCTTTATTTGTTACTCTTTTGTGTAATAGTAAGACTCTTGCCTCTCCGCCTGTCCTTAATCTTAGAATACATACACATAAAGTCATTTTAACTGAGAACTGGCTTTCATCTCGGGCTAATTTGGGAGGTGGCGCTAGTGTGTCTCCAAGTCGTGCAACTCACTGTTGAGACTGTAGACTTTGCAAAGCAATAAATCTTCATGGGAGCAGAAAGCCTCATCTTCCTCCCACAGAGCAGCTGGTAGATTTGTACTACTGACCTTGTGCTTACCAGCCCAATACGTAACCACTATACTACTAGGGGTCCTTGTTAAGTGCCATCGAGTCGGTAGCGACCCTGTATACAGTTTGCGAGGAGCAGCTGCTGAGCTTGAACCTCTGACCTTGCAATTCAAAGCAACCTTGCAATATGGTGCATTATCCTACAGCGCCTTAAAAATCCAACTCAAACTTAGCTATCAATCAAGTCAATTCTGACTCCTAGAAACGCTATAGGACAGAGTAGAACTTCTCCAGAGCATTCCTAAAGTTGTACATCTTAATGGAAAGCCCACTGCCACATCTGTCTCCTACAGAGCAGTTGGTGAGTTCAAACCACCAGCCTGTCCGTTAACATATTGCCTAACTACTGCACCACAAGGGCTTCTGCACAGCTTAGGAAACGCTCACAAGGACGGCAGAGCACCTTGTCCGCTCCACTGTGTCTCCCTGCTAGTGAGTCCTGCACACATCACTGTATTGGTGTAGGAATGTCCAGACAAGGGCAGCAAACTTAGGAACTTCTTGCTGTGCATCCTCATTGAGGCTAACTTGGAAGGGCTGGGAAAAGATCAGAGCAACTCCGTGGTGACCTAATGCTAACTTCTCCAGGCACGATTTTGCTTTCATACACGACTGTCCAATAAAAGTAAAGATGTCGAAGCTTCAAAGTGAATTTTGGTTTCTGAGAAGCTTCTTGGTTGGAGACCATCATGCTTTGTGGACATGGAAGATCTGCGCTGAGACCCTTCCAGACCTTACCTCTTGCATGTCTTCATTTGCATTTATTTGTTTGTTTGCTTAAGTTATTCTTTTCTGGAAGTCTTTTGTTTTCTGTAAATTCTGTGAGTCATTCCAGTAAGTTGTTGAACCCAAAGAAAGCTCATAAGAGGGCTAAATAGTCTGGATTTTGAGACTGATACTCTTAACAACATGGGAGGCACCCAGAGTTTTAGTTAAAGGAGTTCATAAGTTGGAAATCATTCAGGTTTCCAAACTTGCCTTTCTGGGCAGTCTGCAGGACAAAGTTCTTTTAACTTGTGAGGTCTGGCCTAGCCCATGTGACCACAGAGAGAGGGAGAATTCTTCATGCATGACTTGTGTAGAAACTCAAGAAAGATAAGAAATCTAAGGTTTCCATATAACACAGTTAGTTTATGATGTGGGATTTCTTCATCTTCTTGACGTAATAAAGAGGCGAATCCTTGAAACTCCATCTGACCCTAAAACGGATGTCTCAACTACTGTATGATATATGACTGGTGGAAGATGAACTGTGTCAGACAGATGTCTGTGCGCTTGCTTTGTTTACATAGTGAGGAGGCAAATCCTCCTTAAAAGGGAGTGAATAAACAAAAGAATACATTTAGAGGCAATTTAAAATAAAATATATATTTTATTGTGAATTATGTGATAGTTTACATGGGAGAACATTAGGTTTACATTCATCCTATTGTATATCTTTCATTGCCATGGTTACGGTCCCCTCCATGCATCATCAACCAACCAAAGGGTATACCCTGCAAGCCTGCCCCCTGGTCGTCAGCATACAGCCCTTCTCCCTCTCTGGGACTAAATTCCCCAGGTACTCCATCTCTCCACGTCATCGTCTCTGCCTCCATCTCTGGCATCACTGCTTCTCTGGGTAGTGTCCTGCTCTCCGCTCTTCTCCTTTGATGGTCCCAGGGACCTCCACTCCTAGACTAA